TTTTTTGTCCTTTTTTTTTTTAAGACAGGGTCTTGCTATGTAGTTCAGACTGGCCTTGAACTCACTATTTAGCCCAGGCTGGACTCAAACTCTCTGACCCTCTGCTCCAGCCTCTCAAGTGCTGGGACTAAAGCGTGTGCCACCATGCCTGGCCCTTTTAAATTATGAGATGGTCTTGCTAGGATGCCCAGGCTGGGCTCTTAACTCTTGATCCTCCTGCCCCAGCCTCCCAGAGTAATGGGGTTACGGGCATGCACCACCACACCTGGATTCTTTTCTTTTTAAGATGCAAAAATGAAGGCTTCTGGGCAGCAGTGGGGTCCCCCTGCACATGGGGACCCTACCTATCACCCTAGCCCTGGCGGATCTGTCCTTCATGGTGGTGGCTCTGTCTCAGCCATCTGTTTTAGCCTTTCTGTAGGGATGGTGATTGGATAAGGCCAGAAACTTAGCCTGTGTTCTGAGAGCTGGGGGCAGCTGTCCTGTCTCAGCGTGATGGTCAGGCCCAAGGCTAAGGGCCCTAGGCTAAGATCAGGCAGCAAGTGCCATAGCTGACCTTTGACCCCAACCTTCATGTCCACTCCTCCTTCTAGTTGCCCTATATGCGGTGGCTGCTGTGGTGGGAGCCTTATCAGTGTGCACCTGCCTGTCCCACCAGGGCTGGCTGGAGTGCCCTCCTACAATGGCCTCTTAGCAACTATCTGCCAGGGAGGGTGGGTGGAGAGGCATGGAGCTGGTGCCACCTCCCTCTACTGTAGGCCTTGCTGGCCTTGGTCTGGAGGTACCTGGCTGTCCCTTCTATAATAGATCCCCCAGGGTCTCCCAGAGTGAGTTGTCTGCTGGGCAGCTGACTCTCCTGTCAGCCCTGCCTGCCGGTTTGGAGGTGAAGATGGGGCAGAGACTTGGCCCAGGTCCTCTGATGTCAGCACTGCTATTAACTTGCCCCTTACCACATCTCCAGGCCCCTCAGGCTCCTGAGTCTGCTGTTTAGCTCTCAGGATGGGGCAGGCTAAGTGAGACTTGGCTGGGCCTCACTTTTGTGGCTGGGAAAGCCCTGCCCCTCATGCAAGCGATCCCGGGTCAGGACAGAGTCATTGGTCTGCACAAACATTTATTCCAACACTCTTTTGTTTGGGGATCAGAGAAAGGTTTCTCTGACCTGCAGTGTCCTTGTGCCCAGTCAGGGTCTTAAACCCTCCCACCTATCCTGGGCTGTGTCATTTGATTCTTACCCAAGCTCCAGGCCTGAATCAGAGTCCTGGGCATCACAGACCCTTCCCCAGAGGGATGGGCATGTCCGCTAGGTACTGAGGCCTGGACGGGTTCCCTCCACACATGTCAGACTGACCCAGAATGATGTGGGCTGAGCAGGGCCGGGCACACTTGTGCCACAGTTATGAGGAGCGACCCAGCTGGACCCTGGTTACTACACCAGTAGGGCAGTGCTGTTTGCCAAACCAGCGTCCCCAGTGGGGGCCTGTGATCCTCAGAAGATAAGGAGGGTGGAGTGGAGATGCCCCTAGCCCCTAGCTGCCTGACTCTTAGGACATCACTGGGTTCCTGGATGCCCCACCTCCAATGCAGGAGCAGTAAGGGGAGACAGCGAGCGGGCAGCTGATGGGAGAACTGGTGATGGCCCACGTTGCATGGGGAATCTGAGGCCTGGAAAGCTGAGGACCATGCTCAGAACCACTCAGCTAGGGCTCGGCTGCCCTGAGACAGCCCAGGAGGATGTGACACAACAGGCTGGGAGCCTAGTTATGCTCTTGCTGTCCTGCTGGCTGGGGACACATCCCCATTCTGTGGATGAACAGACTGAGGCACCAGACATGGCTTAGGCCCCTTCCATGACTCAGGCCTAGGCCGGAGGTAGAGGTCAGGCATAGACCTCTCTGCCTATGGATTTGGCCATTTGGGACCAGATTGTTATCTGGGGTGGGCATTCTGGGAACTGCAAGGTGCTGAGCTGTGTCCCTGGCCTCCACCCACTCTGTGCCATTAGCACCTCCAGTCTCGACAACCACAAATGTCCCTAGACAGGCCCTGGTATCTCCGGGGGAGAGTAGGTTATTAGATCCTAGGTGCCCCAGTGTCCCATGATCACTTGCCTTGCTAAGGTCCTAGAATGGCACCTACAGTGACGTCCACAATAAGTGGGGTAGGAGAGAGGGGTGAGTCTCAGAAGCTGGGTCCCCTGGTCATACCGCCTTCCCCAGCAGGAGTGTTCGTGTTCTACTGTCCAGTGTGTGTAAGGAGAATGCTCATTTTTTTTCCCATGCTGGGCACTGTGGGGGCACTTGGCCACGGCATTGTTGGCATCGAGTCTGAACCTGCTCTCTTCTCTGGTCCTCTGCAGGGGCAGAATCCTTTCGAGTTGGCCTTCTCTCTAGACCCAGACCACCACAGGGACTCTGACTTCAGCCCACCGTGTGAGGCCCGCCCTGGTGAGGGTCCTGGGGAGAGCGGGTGAGGGCTGGGGCTCGCAGGGAGATGGGGCAGCCCGGGTGGTGCTGCGCTCCTCCTGAGCCTGTGCTGTGCACGTTACAGACATGCCCACCAGCCAGCCCATCGACATCCCAGACGCCAAGAAGAGAAGCAAGAAGAAGAAACGGTGCCGTGCTACCGACAGCTTCTCGGGCAGGTTTGAAGGTGCGTGGGGTGGTGTCAAGGGTGATGGGGAGATGGAGCCATGGTGCCAACCATGGTCCTCACCCTGTCGTGCTCCCCAGATGTGTACCAGCTGCAGGAGGATGTGCTCGGGGAGGGGGCCCATGCCCGTGTGCAGACCTGCGTCAACCTCATCACCAATCAGGAGTATGCAGTCAAGGTGAGCCCTGCCCTTCCCCACAGAAGCCCTGGGCACTGGTACCCACCTGCCGGGAGGGGTGGTAGCACTGGAGCTTCCAGATAACAGCCGGGGAAAACCAGTATCTAAAAATGGTCCCGGGACCTGGTGACTTAGGCCACCCCCGAGAATCCAGGTCCACCCTACTGAGGCTGTAGACACTGGGAAGTAAATGACAGTGAGGGCTGGCTTCTGCCCACCCCATGGTGTGGAAGCCAAGGACCTGGTGCCAGGGCAGCTGCCAAGAGCTGAGGGTTTGGGTCAGAGGCCAATCCTCCACCTCTGAGCTTCCCCAAAGAGGACACCTGCTGGTGGCATTGGTCACAAGGATCCAAAAGCAGTGGCATCATATCTGGGGCCCAGGGTAGGGGCTCTGCATTTGAAGAAACCCAAGCAGGCCCATGGGAGCTTCCTGCGGGTCCCCGCCCCACCACCACGACTTCTGAGTCCTGGGTTGTGTCCACACAGCCTGAAAGCCAAACCCTGGAGTGGCCTCATGACCTTGCGTGTCCAGCTGGCCAGCCCCTGTGTTCTGAGAAACCGTCCAGTCTCCTTCTGTGATCCCGCATCTGGCTTCTGACTGGGTGGGGTGGCAGAAGAGCCGGCTGCCCAGAAAGGAGGACAGGTGCTCCCTGGTGAGCAGGGCCCAGGTGGTCAGCCGGCAGCTGCTGTTTGTGAGGGTGACAGGAGAGGTGGCTGTCCTGTTTGTGTAGTGAGCCTCGTCAGGCAAAGATGACGGAAGGCCCTGGGCTAGGTGTGGTGGTCCTGGTTCTAGGGCCTCACAGGAGAGTGGGGCAAGAACATGGCAGGTGACCTGAGCCATTTGTCTTTAGTAGCCCTGTAGGGCAGTCTTGCTTCCTGTCCTTGTTTGGCAGATCAGGAAACTGGGGCTCAGAGAGGGTAGGTATCCTGAGTCACCCTGCGTGGTCTTGTGGTGGCTCCTGCCCCGACTGCCTCCCATCACCTTGCTGTGACCCAGTGTGGTCCATACTGGGATCTGGGGCCGTGGGGGTTTCCTAGTGGAAGTGTCAGGTAGGCAGTGATGTCTGGCGGCCATGGGAGAAGGAGGCTTCCTGGGTGCAGGAGACAGGAAGTAGTGGGGACTCAGGCTGTAAGGAGTGGTTTGAGGAATGGTGGGACCTCTGAGCCTGGGGCTCCAGACACCTGTATCTGGAGGAAGCTGGTGGTTGTGTAGGAACCCAGCAGTGATTTTGCAGAAGGTGCCCTTCTTGAAGCAGAGGTCGTAGCCCCCACTTCCAGAGGGGTAGGATGAGGTTTGGTTTAGTCAGTCCTTGGACCTGGTGCTCAGCAGCTACTCAGGTGATGGTGGTATCTCCCGAGGCCCTTGCTGGGACAGGTGTGCATGTCTCGCTAGACACATAGCTGGCAGGATACACTATACACTTGCGCATTAGACCACTGTGGTTGGCAGGCATCCTGGGCATGGGTGGTCACCCAGCCTCATACTCAGTGTGGACCTCAAGTGTCCAGCTGGGGAAAAGGAGCCCAGGGTGCCAGGAGAGCTGGCAGGCTCCTCTGATCCTCCCTCTGGGGGCCTCCATGGAGCTGGCACTGGGGTCCTGGGAGGCTGAACCAGGGCTGGCATGAAACAGACCTGGGCTCATGGACAGGTAAGGCTATCACCCAGCCTGGCATGGAGCCAGAGAGGCAGACTCGGCAGCATCACAGGCCCAGGACACGTGGGGAACGGCTGGGCTGGCAGCCAGATGCCAGGAGGCTTGTGTAGTTCTCTGGGTCGTGTGGGAGCCAGCTGTGCTCCGAAGAGCTGTGGTGCAGAGCACCTGTCCCAGGGTCCCCACACCTGTAGGGAGCTCTGGCGGCCTGTCCAGCAGGGTGGAGGGCTGCCCCAACCTGTTCTCCCGCATTTCCCTCCCTGCCTGGCTTCCAGAAGCCTTCCCCTTCCCTGGAAGAGTCAAGCCGGGAACACAGTGCCCCACCCCCCAGCCTGTGCTGAAACCGCACTTCTGGCTTCCAGAAAATTCTGGGCCCCACACGACAGCTCTGCTTTCCAAAGCTGAGACTCCTTAGCTTGGTGCTGGGATTTTAGGAGGGATCCAGGGCAGGCTTCTGTGGGGGTTGTGAGGGCCCCTCTCAGGCAGTAGGTAGCAGGTATCCCTCACCTATTTCAGATCATCGAGAAGCAGCCAGGACACATCCGAAGCCGGGTGTTCAGGGAGGTGGAGATGCTGTACCAGTGCCAGGGACATAGGTAAGGTGGCCTGCCTTCGCCACAGTACAGGGCCCCAAGGCGTCTTTCCATAGACAGATGCCACTCACTCAGCAGGGTCCCAGTGGGTGGGCCCAGTGGCAGTCCAGTTCCCAGCCTCCTGTGGTCAGGTGGGCACTGGGGGTGGCTCAGAAGCCTCAGTTCCTTTCCTGTCCCCATCCCTCCCCCAGGAACGTTCTAGAGTTGATCGAGTTCTTCGAGGAGGAAGACCGCTTCTACCTGGTGTTTGAGAAGATGCGGGGTGGTAGGTGGGGCGGCTCCTGGTTGGGGGGTAGAGGTGCTGGGGACTCGGGCTTCAGGAGTGAACTCTCCAGTGTCCTAAATACTGGAAAAGGCCTGTGGGACCAATTTCCGTCTGTACCATAGCTCAGGGTCAAGGACTTCAGGCTCAGGGAAACCACTGGGGGACATGCTTGCTGGGCTGCAGGGGCTGCTGGAAAGTGGCCCAGGGATCTGGAAGGTAACCTGTGTTCTTGGTCTGGGCTTCATCCCAGGGTCCATCCTGAGCCACATTCACAAACGGCGGCACTTTAACGAGCTGGAGGCCAGCGTGGTAGTGCAAGACGTGGCCAGCGCCTTGGACTTCCTGCACAACAAAGGTGGGCCTGGGGCCAGCAGGGTCCCCCTTGGTCCCAGCCCAGGGCCAGCCCCACCCATTGGAACCCCATGTGGCTTCCCCCCAGGCATTGCCCACAGAGACCTAAAGCCGGAGAACATACTCTGTGAACACCCCAACCAGGTGAGGACGACCCCCACCCTACTTGGGCAGGTGCCCCAGGAGTGTCCACCCGCCGGCCATGCCAGACCCCTGTCACAAAACCCTGTCCACCTCCCAGGTCTCCCCCGTGAAGATCTGTGACTTTGACCTGGGCAGCGGCATCAAACTGAACGGGGACTGCTCCCCCATCTCCACTCCGGAGCTTCTCACTCCGGTGAGAGCATGCGGGGTCAGGGCCATCCCCAGAGGGGTGCTGGGAGGCCTGGGGGGCCTGGGGGAACAGAGGCCTTGGATTGCCTGGACTTGCATAACCTGGAGGTGTCTGTGCTTGCGCCCGGCCTATACCCCGCACCGCCACCTTCCCCTTAGCAACAGCTGTTGATTGGCTGGACGGGCGTGTTGGGGGTGGGGCAAACTCCCGGCAGTAGCTGCTGGTTGGCCAGGCCAGCGGGGTGAGGCGGGGCCGTGTGCTATTGGGGTGGGGCAAGGTGAGTTCTGGGCATGCTAATTGGGTGAGGCCAGCTCCAGCGGCGGCTTCTGAATGGCCTGGCCGGCGGATTTGGAGGGGCTGTAATCCCCGGGCAGTGGGGCGGGCTTGCGTGAGGTCCCCGGTGCCAAGGTGCGGCCCCAGCTAACAACGTGCTCTTGGTCTTCAGTGTGGTTCGGCCGAGTACATGGCCCCTGAGGTGGTGGAAGCCTTCAGCGAGGAGGCTAGCATCTACGACAAGCGCTGTGACCTATGGAGCTTGGGCGTCATCCTCTACATCCTGCTCAGTGGCTACCCGCCCTTTGTGGGCCACTGTGGCAGTGACTGTGGCTGGGACCGTGGCGAGGCCTGCCCTGCCTGCCAGGTGACCCCAGGCCCGGCCCTCCACGCCCTCTCCTCTCAGGGACAGTTCCTGCACCTGACACTAGTCACTGAGCAGCCTCCCAGCCATGCCAGGCCTCCTTCCTGGATTCTCCAGTCCATAGGAGAAACTAGACACATGGGGCAGAGGCTGTAAGCCTGGTGCTCATGAATTCTAGCTCCTGGACCCAACTCCCCAAAACTTCTATAAATCTAGCTGCACTTGAACAGAGTCTTACAGCCTTCTCTAGCTGGGTGTGATGGCATATGCCTATGATCCCAGCACCCAGGCTGAGGCAGGAGGATTACATGCTCAAACGCAGCCTGGCCTACTTTGTGACTTAGTGATGTCTTGTCTCAAAAAATAATAGAGGGCTGCCGCCTGCCTTACCAGTGCAAGGACCCAAGTTTGATCCCTGGTACCAAACAAACAAGCAACAAATAAGCACAGGGAATATAGCTCAGTGGGAAGCACCTGGGTCCAATTCCCAGTTCTGAAGAAAAAAAGCTGTCCCCAATGTCTGTCCTTTCCCTTTGCCCTGCAGAGCCTTGCCCTGCCAGCTGGCCCTAGGACCTAGGCTATCTCTAGCCCTCTGTTCACTGCAGTTCAGTGACAGGTCCCACTTCCTTGGCATCTGTAGCATCCAGATCTGCCCACTGGGGTGCAAGGGACATGGCCCTGACCGGTTCTGCTGCTCCTGACCCCTTGTCACTCCTGCCTCCAGAACATGCTGTTTGAGAGCATCCAGGAGGGCAAGTATGAGTTCCCTGACAAGGACTGGGCCCACATCTCCTTCGCTGCCAAAGACCTCATCTCCAAGCTGCTCGTCCGAGATGCCAAGCAGCGACTGAGCGCTGCCCAAGTCCTGCAGCACCCCTGGGTGCAGGGGGTGAGCCTGGGATGTGATGACCTGGGGATGGGTCACTGATGTTCTCTGGGACCTAAGGTCTAGCCCTGGGCCGAGGGTTGGAGGCAGAATCCCCACTGCACCTGATGGTGAGGTCAGGGACTCATGGGAGTAGCTACTCAGGGCATCTGGGCCTGGCAGGAGTTAGGCAGGTGGCAGGTGGCAGTGAGCCTTGGCAGAGCAGGGCCTGGTTGGGGTCATGGCAGCCTCCGGCCTGCTGCTCTCAGCCAGGGCCACCCTGGCCGTACCGCTGGCTTGGCCTCCACTCCAGGCTCACAAGAGCCCAGTTGCCTCCCCAAAGGGGCCAGGCCACCAGGCAGTGGGCGCAGCTAATAGCCAAGCTTCTCGAGGCTCCACAGGCAAAGGGTACCCAGAGACCTGTGGTTGAGAAGAGAAGAGAGGGCCTGGGAGTTAGCTCAGTGGTGCTGCCGCCTGCTTCACACGCATAAGGTCCTGAGTTCCATCCTGGTACCAAAAAAAGAGGAGAGAGCTGGGGACTGACAGGAGGGGCGTTTATTTGGAGCCTCTGTGGCCACGCCCCCAGTTGTGCTGGATTCCTCCATCCTTTGTCACCCCGCCTGGCCTGGCTCAGGTACCCCAGGGTCCCTGAGCTGGTCCACAGGGACCTTGGGCTGGGTTGGGGCCTGTTGCACTGGGTGGCCAGCTGCATTCTTGGTCCTGAAGGTGGACTTGAGGGCCTCCCTTGACCAGAGCCCTGTTAGTCTTTGAGAACACAAAGCCATCAAGGGATGTGGGGGCAGGCCTGGCTGGGTTGGGGTGCTGTCTGGCCACTGACTCTTGTCTCCTTGCAGTGCGCCCCGGAGAACACCCTACCTACGCCCATGGTCCTGCAGAGGTGAGGCCTTCGCCGGCTTGGGGTCCACGGGGGGACATAGTATTCAGATGTCTTGTAAAAAAGACCAGGAGTTGGGGCTGGGGATTTAGCTCAGTGGTTCCTCCAACCTTCCTTGCAAGCACAAGGACCCAGGATATGGTGGCACATGCCTGTAATCCGAGCGCTCTGGGAGGCTGAGGCAGGAAGATCACAACTTCAAGCTCAATCTGGAAAATTTAGTGAAACCATGTCTGAAAAAATATAAAAGGGGCTGCTGGGCGTGGTGGTGCACACCTGTAATCCCAGCACTCGGGAAGCTGAGTCAGGAGGATCACTGTGAGTTCGAGACCAGCCTGGGCTACACAGTGAGTTCCAGGTCAGTCTCAACTACATAGTGAGAGCCCGTCGCAAAAATACAAAAATAAACAAAAGAAAATATAAACGGGGCTGAGAGTATAGCTCTGTGAAAAGGCCCTGGGTGCCTTCCTTGGTACAGGAAGAAAAAGACCAAAAGAGCCCCTTTAGGTGAGAAGGGGTGTTTCATGCTTGGCTGTCCTTATCCCAGGTGACCGGATAGAGCTCCCAGCTGGGGTCCTAGTGCCCAGAGCTCCCCAGGTTGGGGGACAGATTGTGCAGCAGCCAGGGGACCTCAGAGGGGAGCAGTGAAGTTTGTGTCTGTCCTTAGTGACATCCCCTGCCCTGTGTCCTAGGAACAGCTGTGCCAAAGACCTCACGTCCTTCGCAGCCGAGGCCATCGCCATGAACCGGCAGCTGGCCCAGCGCGAGGAGGACGCAGCCGAGGAAGCGGCCGCAGGGCAGGGCCCACCAGTCGTCATCCGTGCTACCTCACGCTGTCTGCAGCTGTCCCCACCGTCCGAGTCCAAGCTGGCCCAGCGGAGGCAGAGGGCCAGCC